GCAGATTTCAATGGCATATGAAGAATGCCCTGAATAATTAGAATAAAATACCACAGTTTGTAAACAATCTTACATATGTGTCCATGAGTAGATTTAAGATTTTTATTATATCATTGTTATTTGTACGCTGATACATCTTCTTAATAAGGAAATGATAGGTTTTATCACACAGAGAACCTTGTTAAAAGTCCACAGTGTGGCTTGGATATAGCTCAGGACAGAGTACTAGGTATGAGGTCCTGCAAAACATTACCTAAGGGGCATCATGATGCCCATATAGAAACATCCGTTACACATCTTAATGGAAGTTTAGGAACACATGATCTAAGACAGCGGTTCTCAACCTTCCTAATACTGTGACCCTTTAATACAGTTCTTAATGCTGTATTTCATTGCTACTTCATAACTGTAATTTTGCCATTGTTATGAATTGGTTACTTGATATGCAACTCCCAAAGAGGTCACAACCCATAGGTTGAGAGTCACTGAATTCTAAGTCATCCCAGTATTCATAAAAGTTATCAGGAAAAAAAAAAACCACCCAATGCTCTTAGCTAACCACCATGAAATATGAAATCACTTTTTTGTCCACTTGCACTTGTCCTGTGCTATGCCTTTTGGGGGGGGGGGGGGAGGACTGAAGCCAGGACTTTGTACATGTAGTACCCCACCACATAGCTAAATCCCAAACTGGCACTGCCTTTTTAAATGTGTTAAACAGTCTTTTCCCAAATCAAAAAGCCACTATTGGCATACCTTGACTTTTTCTTCTTCCTGGCTATTTTTACTATTAATTATTATTATTTCCTTCCCTAATTATGAGTCCAATAAAACACAGACACAATATATACTGAGTGCTGATTACAGCTAAGAATCATTACATATGCTATTATCTTGTGTGGTTCCCACACTATTGTATAGTAATTACATTCTGCACATACAATAACAGAAGTTTTAAAGCTAAGAGGTGACACGCTCTAAGTCCCTCAACTAGTCTGCAAGAAAGAGAACAGAGTAGCACCTAAGGCTCCTTGTGTGCAAAGCCTCTGTCCCTTGTCCTGTACGCGCTAATGCAGGGTTATTTACAGTGATGAGGGCTCTGTCAGCATTGCATTGAGCACACTGAAGCACAGCCTAGATCTCGGGAAGCCAGAATAGATCTCAGCAGTCCACAATTTCCGAGGGTGACTCTCCTGCTCAGTCTTCAGCCATTGGTCCGTTATGCCCAAGTTTCTCAAAGTACTTCCCACCTACATCAAAAATCCACTTCAGAACTGGTTTAAATCTAAGTTTCTGGGTGGCCTCGACAGAGCAGAATATCCAGTAAGGGAGCCTCCATTTCTAGCGTGCACTCAAGATTGGTATTTTCAAACAGTAAGTTCTAAAATAAGTTTAGGGGATCATACTTGGTGTTTTTGTTTAATAAAACAGCTGAGAACAAACACAATTTATAAAGATTCTATAGAGACAGAAAACATCAGAGGATACCATACACTGTCTCAAGAGACCTGCTTAGTTCTCAGATGCTATTTGGGAAATAAAATTATATTGCATACAACTCAGCCAAGTAAGTTTAAGAAATACAGCTGTTTTAACTTTTTTTTTCCCCTTCAGTTTTTCGAGACAGGGCTTCTCTGTGTAGCCCTGGCTGTCCTGGATCTTGCTCTATACATCATGCTGGCCTCAAACTCTGAGCTCCTCCTGCCTCTGTCTCACGATTAAAGGTGTGCTCCACCACCATCCAGCTTGTATTAACTATTTTTAATCCTCATATCTCCTTTTAAATAAGTAATTTTAATATTCCTTTTACAAAAAAAAATTACAACCTTCTGTCACTTTTCGGATCTTACTTATTCCATTCCAAGAGGTTCTGCTTTAACCCCGAAGTCATTCTGAGGTCTCTGTATAACTACTCATAAAATTATCTGACCAACATTTTGCTGTATTTTGAGTCTTCTCTTAATTATTTTCCCTTTGTTTGTCATCCAACCTCCTCACTATATGGAGTTATTTCACTTACCGAGATCCTTGAACCCATTGGTATAATTTAACTATGTATTCTCGGGGATAAATCAAATTCAAATCACGGAATTTAAACTGTTAAGTAGTTCATTCTCTCATTTTCTCATCTTCTATTTATGTTTTTAGATAGAATTCCTTACTGGCTTGTCTTCCTAAGCATGTTCTTGTTTAATCAGCACTGGTTTCAATATTTATCACATATTTTATTCTTTGAAAGGAAAAATATGATAAGGATCCCCACTAACATAGGGGATTTTTCTGGGTAAATCTGGACAGCTTTAAGATGATACACCTGGCATTCCAAGGAATGATAACTCCTGAAATGTTAAAATCATCAACTATACATACTGCGTGAAACGGAAGTCTAGCTTCCCCCAGATATGACTGAAAAACATAGGCACATCTGATGCAAGGCACAGGAGAGACACCACAGCAGTCAAGCCTGTTTTAAAAGCGGCCCTTGGTGGTGAGGTGTTAAAGACTGGGTGGACGCCAAAGTACAAGTTCAAAAAAAGTGCCTTTTTCTTGAGCTAAGTATCTGCTTAGTTAACACTTAGCTCCCTGATACTCCACGTTGCCGATGACCCGTACACCTAAATTAATCTGATTAGCACAGCTAGAAACACAGTAAGCACTGTAGTGAGACACTAGGAAGGAACTTGGGCACTACCTACAGCACAGCAAAAGCAGGCACATCTGTTGTGAGATGGTCCCAAAAGTCGGTTGTTGTTGATTTCTTTTTTTAAAAGATGGTGCCAGGAATCCTTCATGACTTCAAATAAAGATTTCTAATGTAAAATTGATATTCAAAGCAAGACTCACGAGAAGATGTGGACGTTGCTGGTACCTGTGCTCTTTATGAAGCAAGGAAAACATACACGCTTCAAACATCCTAGCTAATGAATAATAATTGGAAATTTTACATCTTAATGAAAATGTGGTTTTATTAGTTTAGCTGCCAAATAACACATTATTTTCAGGCTTAGTGTTCCTTCTATATTAAAAATCAAGCAATCTCATCAACTCATAACTCTTAACACTTTCTTTAATCAGATGCAAAGATCAAGATGAATTTATTAAGTCTCAAATTGTAAAGCTTTTAAGATACCTAAGTCTATAATGGAAGATTTTCTCAAACCACCCCAATACTCCAAAGACACAGCACCATGAAACAACATAGATAAGCCACCCTTTTAATAGCTGGTATTTTATATGAAATGCAAATTAGAGCTTCAGTTTCAGAATTTAATAAAGATATGAAGAATAAGAGAAGTTTGGAAACTCTTGATGATGCAGAAGCAGAAAGCTCTTTAAATTCTTACTTTGATAAGTAAAGTCTCATGTCCAGTAAATACATTGTGGATGCAAACAACGCAAGGTGACTTTTAAAGCTCTCACTACCAGTTTTACACTGTCACGATAACTCTACTGACTCAAAGACAGCCCTTTAAAACAGTGGTTTAATGAAGGAGCCATTTGCTATCTCAAAGAAATGCAAGAGCTGGTCAGATTGCTTTTATTCTGTTATTGATTCTCATATTAAGTTTCTGAATTTGTCAAATACATTACCAGAGGGAAAAGTAACATTAAATGTTCACCACAGTGAACACAATGTAGTGTTGTGTGTAAATGAATCTATTGCCATATAGAGAAAAGGAAACACTTTAAAAAAATCGGCAATACTAAAATCCATCTATTTTGGTACATACTAAATTCACCTTACAAAATAATCAGACTACAACCACTCCAGTTGGTCCACTATATATGTGACTTTATGAGAGCTCTGATTGAAGGAAATACCTAACTGTGAGGGCTAGTGTAATATTTATATTACTTTAAAAAAAAACATAAAATTTAAGTTACCTACACCCCCGCATTACCTAAACCCTCCAGTAATGTCCAAGTGTATTTGTTACTAACTATAGACTACCACAAAGGCCTGATCTTCAAACTTAATCCCTTTTAACACTAACATATCTACTAATCTATACAACATCCCAACCAGCCAATCAGGAAACAAGAAAGTCATCTCAAGTTTTCTTTCATAGAAAACTGAGTCCAACCCATTTTCATTCACAAAACACAATTTCCAAATCCACTATGGTATTATCATAAATTTATAAAATTTATAAAACTCAGTACAGCTAATTTTCTTAGACCATCAGCAACTCTAAATACCTTTATAGTGGAGGGGCTGACTTGCTAATTAGTTTTCTGTAGTTTCCAGACACTGTGTTGCTCTTAAATGTTGTGCAAATCCTGTTTGCACTGCTATCTCCCACAAACTTTTCAGACACTTAGTACCCCAGACATATTTTGCCAAATTTTCCATTTCGGAGATTTGGGAGACATATATCTGAAAACAGCAGTTAACAACAAATCTCAGAGTAGATGTTTCTTTTATGCACAAAACTAGTAAAATGTTCCTAATTTCTCCGATTACATAAATTTTTACAGAAATTAGGATCAATTTTGAATCACGCTTGTATATTAAATAAAAGATTGACTATAGTACCTAAATAAAACCTAAATAAAACCTTCCCTAACCCAAAAGTAACTGTTTCATGTACCACAAAAGATGAGTATCTCGGGAAAAGTGAGTGCATCACATAATTAGAGAAGTCTTCTTTATGGTGCTTCCTTGGGCTTTTAATAAGTTCATTCCTACACTACAAGCCTTCTACATTACTGTCTGACAAATTTACTAGGTCTTCAACTCTGTGTAAAAGTTCATTACCAACTAAAATGTCTATTTGATAATTAGTTTTCAAGTGACACTTGGCAGATAAGCAAACAAGCATTTAAACTACCTTGAACTGGCAATAGCCTACAGCTAAACTGTAAAGCCTGGGAGAAACTGTAAGACAAGCTCCCTGGGTGTGGGGGGCGGAGGGGGGAGTATTATAACCCCAATAAGTGTCTAATAACGACCCTTCTGTCACTACCCACTTCCCACTCTCAAGTGGGGGCATACTTACCCGAGAAGAAGGTAAATGGGAGGTCCACAGGAAGGAAGATGAACGGCAGCAAAGCCTTTGTCGTATGATAGTAACCTATAAGTAACAAATACAGGCACATCATCAGGACGGGAAGGCTTTACAAGAGTACAGTTCTATGAAGGAAGGGCACAAAATCCAGGCGTCCAGCTCCACACCAGCCCTTTGCCTGTCTCCACCCTCCTCCCTGAGAGAGCTGCAAGGGCAGAAAGGGAAAGCATCTTCGCTTATTCAAAGCCCATGGGGACAGCCCAGCTGGCATTCCTGGGTCTCCCCAGAACCCTGCTTTCTACTCTCTGTCTGTACAAAGCAGAAAGTTGATCCGTTCTGAATAGGAAAGCCCACATCACGATCATTCATCAACTTGCACAAGTGATCACCACCCCCTGGGCAAATACACCAGTAACCAAATCGTAAAGATCGATGGGCACTCCTCCTCCGTGCCTCGCTGTGCCCAGGAGTCAGCCAGCCTGAGGAGCCACGGCAGCAGCGGCTCCAGGTACCACAGCCCTCAGACCTGCAGACCTGGGCGGCCACAGCCAGCTCCCAACAGCTTGGCTGGGTCACAAGCCCGAGACTGGAGATCGGAGTCGACCTGGGGAAACACATTCTCCAGAGCTCACGACAGCAAGCGCAGGCCACCAGGTCGGCGAGGTCGGGGTGGGGGAAGCTAGGAAACGCTGAGGGAGAAAGGGAGGGAGGGATCCCACCCAGGCTTTGTTGCTGGTCACCATCAAGTTTGCATCTTAGTACAAAATGTCGATCTTAAAGGCTGACAAGACAGAGGCAGAGGTAGAGCGAGAAAGAGAAAGGCAATAGAGTCCATCTTGCTTTGGGGAAGAGGGGGAAGGAAAAAAAATGAAGTGTAAATCCCACACTCAGGGCGTAAAAGTCTGCTAAACACCTTTCCACAACGCAGGAGCAACGAGTGGGGTGTCCCTGTGCCCGTGCCGGCTCGAACTGGCGGAGGTCTGGGGGGGAAAAACGCCTCCCTCCCTCGCCTCCTCTTCCTCCTCCTTCCCCTCCTCCTCCCGTTCCTCCTCCTCCCGTTCCTCCTCCTCCCGCGGGCCCCGGCGAAGATCCCGCCGCCGCTGCCTCTGCCGCCCCCCAGGGAGGCACCGCCGCCGCCCGGCCCCGCGCTGCCATTCCAGGCTTGG